CTGCTCCTCCCCCATTCATGCTCTGTCTCTCTCTGTCTCAAAAATAAGTAAACGTTAAAAAAAAAAGAATGGATTTTACACTTTTTTTTTTTATTTTTTTTTTCAACGTTTATTTATTTTTGGAACAGAGAGAGACAGAGCATGAACGGGGGAGGGGCAGAGAGAGAGGGAGACACAGAATCAGAAACAGGATCCAGTCTCCGAGCCATCAGCCCAGAGCCTGACGCGGGGCTCGAACTCACGGACCGCGAGATCGTGACCTGGCTGAAGTCCGACGCTTAACCGACTGCGCCACCCAGGCGCCCCATGGATTTTACACTTTTAAATGGTTGACAAAAATCAAAGGAAGAATAATATTGCTCGGCATGTGAAGATGGGGTGAAATTCACATGCCAAGGTCCAGAAATTCAGTTTTATTGGGACAATGGTCAGGCTCACTCATTTGCACATCGTCTGTGCTGCTTTTGTACCATTTTGGCAGAGGTGAGAAATCACAAAAGAGAGCATCTGACCGACAAAGATGAAAATCTATATTATCTGTCTATTTACAGAAAGCCCAACCCCTGGTCTGAATACATGTAAAAGTGCACACTTCCACCACATCAGGACGGCTATTGTAAAATAACAAAAAACAAACAAAACAAAACAAGAACAGAAAAATAACAAGTGTTGGGAAGGATACAGGGAAATTGGAAACCTTGTTGCGTTACTGGCAGAAATGTGAAATGGCACAGCTACTACTGAAAACAGAGGGTGGTTCCTGAAAACCTAAAAATAGAATTACCATATGGCCCAGCGATTCGTCTTCTGGGTATCTACCCGAAAGAATTAAAAGCAGGGATTCGAAGAGACATTTACACATCCGTGTTCCTAGCAACGTCACCCACGATTGCCGGAGGGTTAGGTCTCCATCCACAGATGCGCAGATAAACCAAATGTGGCATGCACACACAATGGACTATTAGCCATAAGAAGACAGACATTCTGGGACGTTACAACATGGATGAACTCTGAAAATGTTAGGCTCACTGCAAAAGCTGGTCTCAAAGGGACACATATACCACTCATCCGAGGTCCCTAAGAGGAGTCAAATTCACAGAGACAGGAAGTAGATGGTGGGAGCCAGGGGCTGGGGGACGGGGTGGGGACTTTGTGTTTCAGCTCTGCAGGATGGAGAGTTCTGGAAATGGACAGTGGTGGTGGTTGCACAAACACACGAATGTACCTAATGCCACTGAACTGTATACCCAAAAATGGCTAAAATGGTAAATTTTATACAATTAGTGTTTGACCATAATTTAAAAATAGTAATAATATGGGGCGCCTGGGGGCCTCAGTCAGTTGAGCGTCAGACTTCAGCTCAGGTCATGATCTCACAGTCTGTGGGTTCGAGCCCCGTGTCGGGCTCTGTGCTGACGGCTCAGAGCCTGGAGCCCGCTTGGGATTCTCTCTCTCCCTCCCCTTCTCTCTGTCCCTCCTCGACTTGCCCTCTTTCTCAAAATAAAAAAATAAACTTAGAAAGAAACAACAAAAATAAAAATAGTAATGGAAAGAATGTGGAACTACCACCTGTATCTAGTTCTGAACCATCACCCCAAAAGAAAACCCAAACACATCACCCATTAAACAGTCGGTCCCAAAGCCCCCCACCTCCAGCATCTGGGAACCACCAATCTGCTCTCTGTTCCTGTGGATGTACCTATTTGAGACATTTCACATAAATGAAATGATTGCAAAATGTACTAGGCCACTGAAGCGTGCACTTTAAAATGGTTTTTATGTTTTTCAAATTTCACCTCAATTTTTTTTAAAGGGGAAGAAAAGAATGAAATATTCTGTGCACAGTATGAAAAGATCCCAAGATATATTAAAAGGCAAGCAGGGGGCTGCAAAATAGTATTAAATCTTCTGAATAAATCATGGGGCAAATGAGAATTGCTATTCGTATCGACTTAGTATGTATATTAAGAAACTCCAGACAGACACTCATAAAACAAATACAATAGTAGCTATCTTGTAAGGTAGGTGGGACCAGGAGGATGGAATCCTTCAGTAGAAAGGAGAATTGTCGTTTTTTTCTATCTTTTCTCAGAGCCTTCATTGTAATGAGAGAGAAGGAGGCTAGGACAGGTGTAGTTTTAAGAAGGCAGTACATTTGGAGGCAGAAATTGGAGAGATGCCCAGATCTTGGCTTCTGAATGCCGTGTCCCACTGAAAGGACCAGGGCTCCTTGGAAAAACAGGTGATTCCAAGACTGAGGCATGGGAAGTACAAGGTAGGTCTGGTTTTGTGCCAGAAAATAAGGAACAGCTCAGAGAATGATGGGGACATATCAAAAGGACAGATGAGCCAGCCTGATGGGGCTCCCGCTGGCCAAAGCTGGGACCATTTTTAGAATAAGAATCCACAGGCATTTCCTGACATACATACATGCATACATACCTGATTGATTAGTAATTAGATAGATACCTGCCTACATAGAATTATAGATGTTCGATACATATATAGGTATGTAGATTGATACATAAATGATAGACACACAGAGACACAGATAGATATATAGCTGATCATTAGATATACAGATGCCTGATTGATAGGTAGGTTGAGTGACTGATTGATTGACTGACTGACAGAAAGGGAGGCAGTTCATCCTTACATCTTCTTTTCTTTTTTTTTTTTTTAATTTTTTTTCAACGTTTATTTATTTTTGGGACAGAGAGAGACAGAGCATGAACGGGGGAGGGGCAGAGAGAGAGGGAGACACAGAATCGGAAACAGGCTCCAGGCTCTGAGCCATCAGCCCAGAGCCCGACGCGGGGCTCGAACTCACGGACCACGAGATCGTGACCTGGCTGAGGTCGGACGCCTAACCAACTGCGCCACCCAGGCGCCCCTCATCCTTACATCTTCTAATAAACTTGGACAGAACAATGATGTTGGAAATGCATAGCTCCACAGTGGAGAAACCTGGGAGACCTCAGGCCAAAAAAGAAAAAAAAAAATCTCTAAAAGACAATTTAGGGAAAATTGTCAACATTTAAATATGGACTACAGGTTAAATCGTAGTATAATGTCAATGTCAAGTGTTAAATTCATGGTTGTTAAAATCATGCTATGGTTATGTAAGAAAAGGTTCTTGTTCTCAGGAGGTATTTAAGGGTGAAGGGAAAACATAGCTGTAAACTTACTTTTAAATGTCTCAGGAAAACAATAATATGAAATTTTTAAATAAAATGTGCAGACAAAGAACAAATGTGGACAGCTGGTGAATCTGGGAAAGGCTATTTGGAGTTGCTTGCATTATTGTAGCCACCTTTCTGGAAGTCTGAAATGATACAGAATTCAAGCAACAGAAGGGGAGTTTCCCTCTGCGGGTTCCTGTTTAGGCTGTGAAGCAGGCAGAGGGGTATCTGCAGTGAGGGAGAGAGGTCTGGGGAGATGGGAAAGACCTGAGGTCATCGTAGAGCAAGGGGGTTGGGTGAGCAGAGACTGGGCACAGTGCGGGCAGGTGCGTCCACAGGAGCTGGGCCGAGAGGCCTGGGTGGCCCCAGCACTCGCTGCCTCTGAAAGGAAGCCAGCGACTGGCCAGCCTTCTGGCCACCCCTGATTTTCTGCAGTACGAGGGAGAGGACCTTCATACGGGAAGAATCAAGAGGGAAAGGATTGGTCATCATTGTCCATGTGCCCCCCGCCTCCCCGCCTCCACTCTGGGCTCGGTCGACACGTTAGGCAGAGCACAGAGTTTGGGAATGACTTACCGTGATGGGCAGCCCCTCTCTATCTCAGGGGTGTTAATTCAAGGCTTCCCGCCCTTGCAGGACCCTCTCCAGACCCCCCCTTGCCCTCTCTCCATCCAGATTTGAGGCACTTACATGCACATAGGGCTTGACCCTGTTACAGGGAAACCAGCCAACTTCATTGGTAGCCGTATTCCTGCCCTAAAAATCCGGGAGGGAAAGACACGGACGCAGAAGTTACTTGCATTCACGTGCATGTGTGTGCCCACGTTTCTACCCACTGGCCATCTGCCCACCCATCCATCCCTCTGTGCCCGCATGACCCATGGAGTTCTAGCCAGTATCAACCACCTGGCACGACGGCCAGCTCAGAAGGGCCAGGCGAGCCCTAGAAATCCCCATGTATAACACCCTCCCCAGATGCCTCCTCCAGACCAGCCTCCCCTTGCCAAAGCCTTCCCGGGACCGCCTACGCCCATGACCCCACACTCAGATCCTTCTCCATCACTCCCACCGCCCAGCCTGTACCTCCCACCAGTTCTGTTCAGCCTCAGCCTTGGTGAGCTCCACGATGTCTCCAGGGTTGAGCCGCAGGAAAGGACCAATGGCTCCAGGTGGTGGGGGAAGCCCATAGTATTCCTGGCACACCTCCATCTTGGGCAGGCCTGGAGGGACAGGAAGGCGGTGGCTCAGTGCGGTTGGCGGCCACAGATTTTCAGACCTGAGCCTCACCACCCCCCAGGATGGCGAAAATTAGAGACCAAGAGAAACACACCCTCGTGTGTGCCAAAAGTCCGAGACAGCCTGTCTTCACAAGAGCCCCAAACTGGAAACAACCCAACGGCCTCAATGGAATGCATAAACTGAGTGTGACAGAAGCACACAACAGAATGTGACACAGCAACGAACAAATTACTGTCACAAGCAACCACGTCAATGAGTCTCACCAACACGACGCAGGAGGAGGACATACCACATGATTTCATTTTTACGAAGTTCAAGGAAAGGCAAAACTGACCTATGGTGGTAGGGGTCTAAGAGTGGTCCCCTCAGAGAGCCAGGTGCGGGGGGGGGGGGACTGAACAGCAGTCTGGTAAAACCTTCTGTGTGGAGGAGTTGAATAATCTCTCCTGTCCAGCAGGGCAGTCATTAGTCAGAGGTGGTGAGCGAGAGCTCACAATGTGGCTAGTGTGGCTGAGTACGGGAGTTTTAAGATTATTTAAATTAGTTTCAATTTGCATGGGACAGTGTAGTTCTAGAATTCGGTGAAACGTTCCATATCTTGATCTGTGTGGTGGTTACAGGGGTAGAAATTCATGGCGCCATGCAGTTAAGATTTGCTCACTTATACACATTACAGTATGTATTTTCTATCTCAATAAACTGTGTGTGTGTGTGTGTGTGTGTGTGTGTGTGTACGTATGCATATATATAATGGATATGTACAAGTGTGTGTGTTAATATAAGTGTATATATTAATATTAATATAATTATATATATTAAATATAATTATATTAATATAATATAGTAATATATATACAATATGCATAGATATAAATACATATAATAGATACACACACTTACTTTTCTAAATGTGCATCTATTTTTGACAGAGAGAGAGTGCAGAGGAGGGGCAGAGAGAGAGGGAGAGAGAATCCCAAGCAGGCAGTGCAGAACCTGATGTGGGGCTTGAACTCACAAACTGTGAGATCATGTCCTGAGCCAAAATCAAGAGTCGGACACTTAACCAACTAAGCCACCCAGGCACCCCTACACACACACACACACACACACACACACACACACACACACACACACATAAATATTTCCCTCTATTGAGGACATTTGGGTTGTTTCTGGTTTTTGACAAATAAAGCTGACATACACTTTTGTATAAAACGGATTATACAACGCATATAAATCTACGTATAATTATATATACATTCTTCTTATTGAATCATTTGTTTCTAATTTTTTATTATTTCAAATAAAGCTGAGATATCTATATCTATCTATAGACACAGGTTATAGATATCTATAGATCTTTGTACATTGACATCTATATATGAATATACATAGACACGGATAGATAGATATGAAATCTGAGCCTTCACACTGACTCTGTGTTATTATGAGCAAAGGTTTTACTTCCTCAGCCACACCAAACTGTTCTCACGTGTTTAATGCTGCCTGGCTTCCCTGCCTCCCAGCCTTTGCGCATGCCATTCCCTCTGCCTGGAACACCCCTGTCCTCCTCCTCACCTGCCTAACCCTCTCATCCATCAAATGTCTGCCTAAATGTCTCCTCCTCTGAGAAGGCTTCCCTGAGGGCTCAGATCTGTCAAGTCCCCCAGGTTCTATGTTCCAGAGAACCTTCTAGTCCGCCCACTACAAGGTAATGTCTTAAAATTCTCTCCCTCACCACTGGTCTCAGAGCTTCTGGAGGATGAGAGGCCCCAGATGTGACCACGTATACAGTAGATATTGAACACAAGGCACCCATCACTGCTGTGATGCCACAAAATTCGTCAACATAGGAATGAGTCCAGCCTTTCCCCCCTGCCATTGGGCTAAAATGAATCTGTGCCCTCCACTTCCCCATCCTCGAGGGGAGGGCACTCTGCTGAAACTATACATCATGATAAGATTCTGTGGCACAGAATCAAGAGGAGAGGAGGTAAGGACCACCAGAGGCGTGCCGCGTTGGAAAGCAAGGAAAAAGAGGCGGTGAAGAGGAGAAATTGGACGGTAAGATAAAGAGCACCTTTGCAAGGATGGCTACTGCCCCATGCCTTCTCTTCGTAGTGTTTGAGCAAAGCAAGTAAATAATTTGGGTCATTTTTAAAGTTTTTTTAATGTTATTTATTTTTGAGAGAGAGAGGGAGACACAGAATCCGAAGCAGGCTCCGGGCTCCGAGCTGTCAGCACAGAGCCCGACGCGGGGCTCGAACCCACCAACCGCGAGATCGTGACCTGAGCCAAAGTCGGACGCTCAACCGACTGAGCCACCCGGGCGCCCCCAGTTGGTTATCTTTAAATTCCTTTCGGGTTTCTAGGACTGCAACCAATGGCTCACAGCTTTACAAGCAGGACCTTATGTGATCGTTAATATAACTGTTGAGATCTGGGGCAGAGACCAGGCTTCCTCCTGCCCCACACAACGCCCACCCCACCTCAGACTCACCCAGGTCATTCCGCTTTTTGTCCTGAGCTCGGCGATGTGGCTTATCCTGGAGGGAGACAGCGAAACTGCAAGTGTGGCTCCCCAGGCCCAGCCTGGGGCCCCCTCAGCTCCTATGTGAGCACCCAGCAAAGGGCCATGCCCACTGCTGGGGTCTCCTGGGTCACCCTTCCTTATCCCCCATGATTTCTCATACAGAGAAAGGAGAATGGGGGTCTTACCTTCTTCATAGTTCCTGAAAAATCTATGGGGGGCGGGGAAGGGAATGGTTAGCATGGAAATCCCCCCCACAGGACCAAGCCCACCTGCCCCAGTCTCTCCCACTGGTACCTTGCCCGTGTCGGCCACATGGAGGGACCCTTCCCAGACACTCCTTGTGTGCAGGTGCCCGGCACCGATGACAACGGTAACCCTGATAGAAAGTGCCTCTGGGATGCCAAGGGGAGATTAAGGGACGTCAGTGATGCTGACTGGACACAGCCGATCATTTTGCCAACAACGTGAAGGGTGCCCTTGGGTTCCCTTCAGGGCAAGAGAGAGATGCAGAAGCGGAAGCCCAAGGGAGAGCCGCCCACCTCCCAACCCAGGGGACAGACAGCCAGAGAAGCCCCTCTGAGGGGGACGAGCTGACCACACCCAGGCCCCAGGCCCATCCCCCCAGACCCCTACCTCAGCAGCATCTGGCAAGCCTTGCACGACGTGGTCTCCTCAAAGGAGAACATTTGGAAGTCGTGCCCGTTGGCAGTAGCGTTCTCAGGGTAGATGTTGGAGCTGGAGAGGGGACAGAATTCCCCATGACGGAACAGTATTCAGCCGCACAAGGGAATGAAGTACCAACACGTGCTGCCCTTTGGACGTATCGGGGCAGCCATACATAAACCAGAAGCCATGTCTCCAGCCCTCCACTGATGGGCATTTGGGTGGAGACAGAGAGCAGACCGGTGGTTGCCAGGGGCTGGGAGCAGGGGAATTGGGGACTGAGTACTACATGGGTGCAGGGTTTCCTTTTGGGGGGATGAAAATGTTTTGGAACTTAGAGGTGGTGGTTACACGATATCGTGAGGCACTAAATGCCATTGAATCATACACTTTAAAATAGCGAAATTTTTGTTACGTGAGCTTCATCTCAAGAAGACGAAGAAAGGGAGCCTGGGGGGCTCAGTCAGGTTAGCATCCGACTCTTGATTTCAGCTCAGGTCACGATCTCACCGTTTGTGAGACTGAGCCCCTCTTCGGGCTCTGTGCTGACAGTGCAGAGCCTGCTTGGGATTCTCTCTCTCCTTCTCTCTCTCTCTGCCCCTCCCTCACACACACACACACACACACACACACACACACACACACTCTTGCTCTCTCTCTCAAAATAAATAAAACAAACATTAAGAAGAAAAAGAGGAAGGAGGAGGAGGAGAGGAAAGGGAAGGGGAAGGATAAACGGAAGGAGAAGAAGTAGGAAGAGAAGGAGGGAGAGGAGTGGGAGGAGGGGAGAGGGAGGAAGGGGAGGAGGAGAAGAAAAAGAAGAAAAAGGAGGAGGAAGAGGGGTTCAGGCTGGCGGCTGAAGCTCACACACAGAACACTGACATTCTGAGGACGCAGACAGCATTAAAAGCCTATGCTTCCCATTTCGCAGATGGGGAGGCTGAGGTTCAGAGTGGCCCTACGGAACAGAGCACAACTGCCTCTCAGCCCCTGTCCACTGCAGAGTCCTCTGAGGACGGGGGTGGGGGAGGAGGCGGGTCTCACATGGCCATCTCGAACTGCTCCAGCCACTTCTTCTTCAGTTCTCGTGTCTTAAAGAACAGCTCATAGCCCTGGGAACCTTGGTCCTCGATCAGGAGAAACATGTGAGTCCACTGCAGGGAACAGGGTTCAGAATGAAGACACCCAGTCTGCAGAGGATGGGACCACACACCCTCTTCACCCCTACCCCTGTGGGGAGGAAAGGGTCAGCCTCGTAACAGCCTCTCTGCCCCTCGGAGAAACTGGGCGCGGGCACCCTTGTAAGGGTCTGCCTGGGAGAACCAAACATACGTGCACAAATCTAAGACCACGCGTGTCTTACACACACACACACACACACACACACACACACACACACACACACACGGGCATTCTAAAGCTCGAGTGCAGAGCCTCAGCTCTCCCAGCGCTGGGGACCCCAGATCTGGCTTCGGAGCCCCACCTTCTTGTTTTCTCGCTCTCCAGAGGAATCATCTCGAACCTGGAAGCTTTGCAGATCCACAACATTCTTGAGGTCGTAGGAGTCCCCTCGGCGCTTGCAGATGAGCAGAGCTTTGTCGAGCAGGAAGGCGTACCTGAGAGCAACTTGGGTCAGGGGCCTCCGTCTGGCTCCCCTCGGCCAGCTCCTCCCCACCAGCTCCACCTTCCTGGCCGCACCCGGCCGTCCGTCTAGGACTCCCGCCCTTCTCCTCCTCTGTGGCCAGCTTGGCAGGATTGGCCTACCTAACCATCCTGACCTCGGCCATAAGGTCCTTCCGGGTCCCAGCACCTGCTGGTCTTGGCTCCACCCACACGTCCACGCTGGTCCCGCCCCACCCGCCCACCTAGGCCCCACCCCCTGGTGTAACTGGAAATCCCGCCCCACCTCTGCTCCGGCTCTTTGCTGCATCTGTTGGCTCTGCTTACCGGTCCATCTTGGAGCGCCTCTCCACTGAGGTGATCTTGAGCTCCCCATCGATCTTGGGCCGGCCATAGTGGGCCAGAGACTGGTCCTACGCAGCAGGAAGGGGGTCTGGCAAGGGGCCACCCAGGGGGAGGCCAAACACCCTCCCACCCCACCCCCGCGGCCACACCCCTGGCCCGTCCTGCCCTGCCCCCTCACCAGGTTCTCGATGGACAGTTGGAAATTGGTGATCTGCCGTAACGTCTCGTTGTCCCGCTTGACCTCATTCACACACTGTGCCAGGTCCTGGGGGTGGGGCAGGGGTGAGCCTGGGCCCCCCCACCCTGGCCAATCCCCTCTCTGGTTGGGTGTAGGGGGTCAGCCCCCCACCAGGGGCTGGCAGGAGGCGTAGAAAGGGCATCCCCGCATGTACTGTCCTCAAGGAGACGCTAGGAATCACTCACTGGTCACATGGGCGTGTGGTCATTGATGAGAGGAGGGGTTGCCCGTGGGTGTGACCGCGTTCCCCGGGCTGCACTGCCTCCAACGTGTAACCGCCTGTGTGTGACCACTCACCCTCATGGCGTCCAGGGCCTGCCTCAAGTTCTCCTTCTCCATCACGTCCTGCGTGTGTTTGACCAGCTCCTGCACAGCCCATGGAGACAGACATCACTTGGGCCTGCCCTCTCCTCTTGGGGACCCTCCAGACAAGCCTGGCCTGCCAGCTTCCTCCTTCCTCCCAGAGGATGCCAGGCCCCAGCCCCGGGAAGACAGCTCTGCCCCCACGCCTATGACACGGAGAGGGAGACAAACCAAGCCCTTGCCTGGGGGCCCCCACTTGTGCACCTGGAGAAGGAGGTGATACTTGAGCACCCGCTGCATGGGCACCATCAGCAGGTCCCGCAAGGTGAACCTCCCGTTGTTTGCTCGCTGAGAACATTCCTGGGGGGGGTCAGAGACAGAGATGAGCACGATGAGGTGGAGACAGGTGTGGATTTTTCTAGAACCTGAAGCATCATCGGGGAAATAGTGAAGGAAGAATTTCCTGGAAGGCTGGCAAACACTGCCTGAGGCAGGATTCCAGGAGCTGAGTGGAGCTGGGGAGGGAGCGGGGGACAGGACTGCAGGGTCCCCACAGTGGAGACCGACGAGGCCGGATGGACGGTGCATGCAGGTGGCCCGTCCTCATTTCTGCCCTGTAGATACACTGGTTCCGGGGCAGGGGAGGGGGGGTGCTCAGCCCAGGATCAGGGCTCAGTGTGAGTTGGGGCTCAGCCCAGACTTGGGGCACGGCCAAGGCTGGGACTCAGCGCAGGCTGGACTGGGGGTTAGCCTGGAGTCAGAGCTGAGTTCGGGGTCAGGACTGAGTCCAGAGTCGGGGTTCAGCGGGGGTCAGGGCTCAGCGCTCCCGCCCACCTCTTCCTGCTCCCTTTCTCCCACTCAGCTGGTCAGTACCTCCCACCCCATACCCTGGCTGGGCTGCGGTGGAAAGTAGCACCACCAGCTCTGTCTCCTCCCCCACTGCCCCTGGGGCCTGGGAAGGGGTAAGAGAGCCCCCCAGATGGCACCCGGGCCCCACCTCCAGCTTCATTTGCACATCCTCCCGGGCGGCGGCCACATGGTCCAGGTGCTTGCTGGCTGACTCCACCTGGCTGCAGTAGCGGCCGTAGACGAGGAACCTGAGGGAAGGACAGGTGGCCGGGTAATGGTGGCCCGCACCATGGTCAGGCAAATCTGGGTGTCAGTCCAGGCCCGCCTCTTCCCAGATGGTCTGAGCCTCGGTCTCCCCATCTGTAAAATGGGCATGACAATGGCACCTCCCGCATGGAGCCACTGAAGCATCGGAGGGAGATGATGCATAAGACACGCTTAGCACTTGGTATATTGTCTCCTCAATGTTCACTCATCTAACAAGCACTTACGGAGCACCTACTGTGTGCCAGGCCCTGTGCCAAGCTCTTTAGGCATCCGTTTATTTCATCCTCACCCTGGGAGGTACATTCTGCGCCACGCTGATTTTACAGATGTGGCAGCAGATGCTCAGAGAGGTTCAGTGAGTCTACAGTGCCACACAGCCCGGCAGAGGCAGAGCTGGGGACTGACCTACAAGTGGGCAGTCCCTTCCCTTGCCCATGAGCAGAGAGGAAACAGCCCTGCCTGTCCGGTAGCCTCTGAGGGCAAGGTCATCCAAATGCCCGGCGCAGGCAGGACGGGGTGACTTCCGGGGGTCTGGGCTGGCCGGCTGGGTCTCACCTCTCCTTGTATTTGATGAACACCTGGTAGAGGGTGGGCGCACCTGGGGTGCCCAGGACTTCCTTCATCTCCTTTAGGAAGAGAGTGTGCACACGAAGCAGGTCCTACTCGGAGGAAGGAGTGGGGGCTGGGGTTCAGGAGGCCCACCCTGCAGTGCTCAACTCCCAGCCCCCACTCTCCAGGCACAGGTGGAGCCAGCAGGTCGTCCCCACTGGACAGACGCCCGGGAGGGCTGGGGACCGGCCAGCTCACCTCGATGTTGATGAAGATAATCTCAATGTCTTGGGGTTTGAGGAACCGTTGCAGGGGCTTCATGAAATGCTGCAGGAGCAGGGAGAGCAGGATGAAGGGGGCAGGACCCCTCCGTCCGGACCAGGCCCAGGGAGCCGGGGACAAGGAGACAGAGTCAGAGACCAACAGAAAGAGAGGCTGAGAGACAGAGATGCACAACGGCCACCCAAACACCTGTTCACGGCTGTTCACGCCAGCGTTATTCGCAACAGTCGAAAAGGAGGGACCAACCCGAACGTCCAGCAATGGGTGAACGGATAACAAGATGGGGTCCACCCACCCACCAGAATGTCGCTCAGCCACGAAGAGGAGCGACACTGGCACACGTGGACGGACCCCGAACACACGACGCTCGGTGAGAGAACCGGACACAGAGGGCCACGTCGTGTGGGATGCCACGTGTGTGAAATGCCCAGAACAGACACATCCACGGAGGCAGAAAGTAGGTTAGCGGTTTCCAGGGGCTGCCGAAGGACGGGGGCGTAGGGGGTGATGGCTAAAGGGTACCGGGTGTCTTTGGGGGGGAATGACGAAAATGTTCTAAAATTAAACAGTGGCGATGGTCGCACAACCTTGTGACTACACCAAAAACCACTGAATTGTCCACATTAAAGGGGTGAATTGTATGGTATGTTGAGCCCATCTCGATAAAGCTGTTGAAAAAGCAATGGCCAAAGGGAAGAAGATAGAAGGTCGGAGAGACAGTAATAGACACAGGTGGACAGAGGTGAGGACACAGGAAAAGATACAGACAGGGATAGAGGGACACCCAGGGAAAGAGCGACCGAGGAAGAAGGAAGGAGAGACCGCTCAAGACAGGAGATGGCATGAAAGAGAAAACCAGCGGCAGAGAGAGAGAAGAAACAAAACAATGGGGACACAGAGGCCCGCTTGGGACACACGGGCTGCTACGCACGGCCCAGAGGCCGCCGCTCGGGCCGGGGGACGCGCACCTGCCCGCCCAGCTCCCGCGCATGCGCCCCCCCGGGCTGGGTTGGAGCCCCGCACCTGTTGGATGGATCCCAGCGTGTCCGTGTACTTCTCCTCCGTCTGCTGGATCTCCCGCAGGCAGCAACACCGCTTGTCATACTCTGTCATCTTGGGCTGAGAGTGGGGAGCACAGGTCGGTGTTGGGGGACCCGGGACTGTGTGCCCCCCTCCCTCCCCCCCCCATGAGGCCTCCCAGACGCCACGCTCCGCCCCACGCACCGGCATGGGCACCGGCTCCGCGGAGCGCATGAGGTCTTCGTAGATCTCATCACCCTCCGCCTCCTCGTTCTCCACACAGTCATACAGGTCCTCATCCTCTTCCACCGTGTCGCTGCGGGGTGTGGGGTCAGCTAGGGCCACCGGAGCCCCCAGGCCAGGGACCCCTCAGACTCCTCCCAGATCAAACTCGTGTCCCCTCAGGCCCCCTAGGGCAGGGTCATGTCCCCTCCAACCCCCCAGGACAGGGCCATGTCCCCTCCAACCCCCCAGGGCAGGGCCACGTCCCCTCAGACCCCCAGGTGAGAACCATATCCCCTCAGACCCCTCCCAGATCAAAGTCGTGTCCCCTCAGACCCCCAGGGCAGAACCATGTGCCCTCAGACCCCCCCCCCCC